GAAACTGGGAATTTCCTTCACAGTTTTGCTGTACCACTTCCAAAAATACACAATTCCATTTCAAAACGGGAAATAAACCATTGCAAGGGTTCTTTACTTTCAAATTTAACTTACTTCATATATTCATTAATATCGCGCACTAAACTTCGAAGTCATATCTTTTGGGTTAAAATAAGAAAAAGTTCACATTAACATATGTCCGAAAACGATTCGTTTCCGAGATACAGGGTGCTCAAGTTCCCTAAAAAAATCTATTTTTGTGTTAATTTCTGAAATATGCCTCAACCGATCGTGATAAAATTCGCAATTTTCGTTGTAATCACAATGATGTACTTATTTTTTTGACCTGATTCAGTTGATGAAATATTATCAGGGGCGTTCTCACGGGGCAAGTCCAATAGTTTTCTGCACAAAAAATGACACCCAGTCAATTGTTTTTCATTTTTGCAATTTTTATCATTTTCAGATTTGAAATGTCAGTTCAGAAAATTGAATAAGGGTTCCCGCGAAAGTGTTTTGCAATATATCTCATTCCCTAACGTATTGCAAAAATTCTAAGAACGGCGGTTAACATTTATTTGAGTTGCCCAAAGACAAGGCAACATTTCAAATGTTCGTTAAAGCTTCAAATTCGAATATTCATTTCAGGGAAATATACATTCATTGACCTATTACATATATAATTATACATAATGAGTAAGTATTATGTGCCTTTTGGTGTTACGCCAATGTTAGGGTTTCATTTAATAAAAGTGGATTGAAGAAATGATTGTGATGAATTGTTGGGAAGACAATTCTATACAGAATCGTAATTTCCAGAAAAAAACTCACTTTGTATTTGAAAAAAAAAAGATGTTCTTTCAGTCAAACAAGAAGTGTCATATTTGGTCTGATACTACGAAATGTATACACTCATGAAATCAAATCAATGTACAAAATTCAAAGTATAGCAACGAACATACAGGGGGGTAGTTGGTTTCGGGTTACCCGGTATATTCGATGCAACATTGAATCATTCTTGGCCGCTGTTAAATATTTTATTCTGCTCGAGCAGACGAAATAAATATTACTGAGGAATTAAGGGCAGACCCTACTACCATGTGTTTACATTATTTCATATTATAATCGTGGAAAAGTTGTATGGTATACTTGACAATATGTAAAAAATGAAACTTTTTGTGTCTACTTGAAATGAAGGTTCTACCTATTTTAGGAGGTATTCATTCAGCCTCACGAAACAGAATAGGCGAGTGGATATTTTTTTTTATTTCTCAAATGGAATCATCACTCAGATACCTTTCAATTTCATATTTTTCAGGATTTTTCTGGCGATTTTTAGGTCCTAAAATCATCAATATAGCCACGGTAATTTTCAAACGGCTAGAAATTCACCACGAGTAAAAACTGACGTCACGATTCCGTAAGTAGGGGCAGAGCACAGTTGCAATGTGTTGAAATACGATTGGAATTCATTTATTCAATAATTCATGAATTCTCAATCATGTTGTGGTGATATTTCTAAATATCACAAAAATTCAATTGTCTCAAAATGTTCCTTTATGATTTGTGGCTAATTGCTTATATTGAGTTTTTGTGAATAATAATTATATTAACTCACACTAGAGACATTTGAAGTGGTAAACGTGACAACATACGGTCCACGCATTGTGGGCGTGGTCTTGTCAGTTCTCAGCATTCAGCACAATGCTGCCAAGTCTCCGACACTCACATGATATTATGTTATCGAGTGTAAGAATTATTTGGACATGCTGGTTGGTCCAAAAAGTCAATAATTCACTATAATATCATGGGTTCCTCATATTATCTCTTATTCAACGACAGGACTTGTAACATCTTTTTGATAACTTAATTATAGATGGTGACTTGACAATCTTCCACTCGCCAATTCACTAAACTGATAAGGTCACTGCATCATTCGTTCTATCAAACAGAGCTGCATAATAGCTAAATGCATCAGAGGTATTGAGAATTGTATCGAAATGTCTTGTAGATGCTTCCAACAAACTTGTATATTTCATTGAAATGATGGATGGTAAATAAATCAATATTTGGATGCCAGCACTCATTTTATTCCTAAGTATATTATATTCAATTGTTACATCATAATTGCACATCAATGATAATCAATATTATTATTATTTATCTATTATTATAGTTAGATTTCAGGTATAATTACAAATATTTCCCAAAAATACATACCATCACAATTATATGTTGCACATCTTCAGTTAGATACATATAAGAAAATAACAAAATTTCATGATACAGTCAATAGAAACGGGTAGTTTGACTAATGTAAAAGAATATCCAGAAATTCAGGTAACATTCATTGATGAATTCATTGGTCTGGAAAGCCTATACAAATTATGATATAAGTTAGGCGTCAGTTACACATTAGAGGTCTGGGTGAGTTTTTCATGACTGAGTCAAATTGATGATAATATTTGGGAGAAAAACATTACCCACTGACAATAATTGAAGTTCATCGTACATGAGATTGAACATCTTCATCTTCCTGATTCAATGACGAGAGGCACAAACCCGAACATGAGAGATTAACTTGAAAATTACTAAAACACGTATATGGCATAACTCTATCAACTTCCTGATATAATCTTTCAAAAATCAGACTGAATCTTTGGGCCAAGAGAATGTCCCCATATGGGTACAGTGTGAGTCAATGGAGTGGAAATTATCCTAACTGTAACAAACGAAATATCATGCAATTTCCATTTATCACACACTAAAATCAATAAGGACGAATTAAAAGCGGAACTCACAATGTCTACAAAACTGTACCACGTGCTGAGAAAATCCTGGATACAATAATCGGTAATCAAAATACACCTGTTTCTTGCCTTGCATGTTCCAAAATGGAGATATAGGTAAATCAGACTTTTTTAGGATGAACAATCTAATAATCTTTCAAAAACAGTGGGGCCGTTTGAATTCTTCTCCGGTGTCTCAACTGACTTTGCAAATACTAGATCCATAGATTATATCTGATCCACTCGTCGTTACGGAACAATTTTCAGTAACTTTTTTTGTCATCATCATCATAAAGAATTAGGAATGGGTATAGAGATACACACTGAGTGCTCCACTAAATGTTACCTAACACAGAGCATTGGACAAAAAGAAACTACACTCACCGGCATAAAAAACCGGCCACCAAAAAAATCAGCCAAATTATTCGCCCTGTAATTTTTTTAATTCTTGTCCGATTGCTGTGAAATTTCTACCAAATCGTATATTCATGTTCCAGAATGTTAGTCTGAATATCACAAAATCACAAAAGTTACTCTCTCACCCTTAAATTCCGAACGCCCTGCGGAAAAGGTCAGTGGTTAAACTTGAGTTCATTATGTTTTTGACTGAAGTGTGATCCTTTCTTGACATAATGGTTTTTCATTCACGTCGATAACTAATTTTCAAGAGAAGATACAAGTATTTTAAGGAAGTATGGATTTTTTATTTTAATTAACAATAATTCAGAACTATTCCCCAACCTCCTGCTTCACCATATTTTGAATTGAAGTGTCATCATTTTTCGTATCTTCTAAACACAATAGTTCGTGATTCACGTCAATATCTTTTCTTGAGAGAAGATACAAGTGTTTTAGGAGAATATGGACAAAAACAATAATTCAGAACCTATAGAGCATCCGAAGGGATGAACTCCAGAGTTTCATTCACCTTCGTTCGGCCATGTCAGAGACTCTTGAGATTCGCCATTAAAGGATAATTTAGGAAAATCCTCCAGACTATTTGAGAAGTTTAATCTACCCGATGCCACGGCGGTTGAAGACTGTGATTCAAACTCGAGGAGGGCATTGTCGCTATTGACTACAGATTTGCTTCTTGTTTGTTTTCTGTATTTCAGGTTTCTTCTGGTAAGTGCTAAGAAAATGATGTAGAAATAAGTTAAATTAATTCTTCAAGTTGTTAATCAATGAGTTCATGTAGGTTCTGATTATTGTGAATTAAAATTGGAAAATGCCATACTTCCTCTAAACATTCGTATCTTCTCCTTAAAATAAGATATTGACGTAAATCAAAAACTATTGTGTTAGTATATTAAAGCCAAGTTGAACCATTCCATTTTGTCACAGGCCGTTAAGAAATAATGGGTATAAACTAAAATTCAGGCTGACATCTCGGGACATATATCTACAATTGGATCAAAATTTCACAAAAATTGGACAGATATTAAAAAAGTTACTGAATGAACAATTTTGGCAAATTTTTTGGTGGCCGTTTTTCTCTGTCGGTGAGTGTATGTATTGAAAATAAAACTATTGCTGTGTTTTGATATCGCAATGATTCGGAAACTTATTTTTTTGAATCAAATGTCCCTCGCCCACTAATGATGAGATCTGATACAAATACGAAGATATTTTCAGGATCAATTTCACACTTGAAATGTTTCAATATTTGAGCAATTGAAGAAGCCTGGTGAACTGTGGAGAGAGCATCAATGATTCAAAGATTCTATTCAGGAATTCCTTAGCAATTAGCTAATGATAATCATGATATTCATTCATTACATCGATTGTGTGTGAATTTGAACAAGGTTGAGATATTGATGAACCCCCATTGCCTTTAATTCTCATCATTGGGTGAACATACATTTTGCTGTCTCAATTTCTGGACATTCAGTACAACAATCACATGAAAAAAATTATGATATTCACAATACTGAGAAATGCAATGAAAATCACCTCCCATGTCGGTGCAGAAAGTGAAATTAGACATTTCAGCTGCGATATGATAAATATCTATAAATAATAACAGCCGACTTTGAGGTACTTTTTATTCATTTGCTCAAAAGTTGTCATTCAGTGACAGTTTCCACAAAAACACAAAATCTTTAAATGTTGTTTTGTGAAAGCTATCCTCCTTACTAAAAATTATCACATGGAAAATGATTAAGACATGGTCATGAAACTTCAAAATTACAATTATTATATTGACCGAAAGGTGTGTTTCATCGGAATCTCAAATGATCAGTCGAATTGAAGAGTCCCTCGAGGTTGTGAAGAATTTGATACGGTTCCATGCTAACAACCTGAAAAATCAATCATCAACCTATTTTCTATCATCTTAGACAGCAAAACTCAGAGAATTTTGTGGTCCTAGGCAGTCTTCATAAACATACTTGAATATCATCATGTTTTAAAACCATGACTCGACACAAGGATGAATATTCAGTTCCTCCATCAAGTGACGCATCAATACATTATATAAGCTATACAAACAGGAACACCTGAATGATAAATACAGCTTTTCAAAATCATGATATTTCGTACAGGCTAAAGTACCTTCTCGTGAAACACCTCATTTTTCTCGAATTCCGGATTTCCTTTGCTCCAAATCGATAGAGTAGGATAAATCACAGAAGTTGATTATTGAATTTCAACAACTACATAAAATTGGAATATTCAAGACAATTAAGTATTCTGATGAAAAATATTTATAACGAATAGATTTCACAATATCTGTCAATTTTCAGCTTTCAAATTACTTTTCTGTACTTCTCGAGTTGTTTTGACATTCAAATAGCTGTAGATGGAGCATGATGAAGTTTAGTGTTTTATTCGCGCGAGATGGCTATTATGCACCTGGCCACTGATACTGCAATAGTTTTTATCTTCGTGTAAGAGACGTTGAATAATTTAGTGATTAGTGATTAGTTCACACATTTTATATGTATATAATATCCGTGAAGCTTGATAATGACAATAATAATGAAATCTCGATATATATCATGAGAAAATATACGAATGAATTTACTCTAATTATATAACGGTGCATCCCATTTTGGAAGATAGAACCTTGCGGTTTTTACGTTCCTCTGCTACTTTGTGAGGAACAGTTCGATTCGGAAAATTTATGCATTTTGGAATTTTTCTACATACAGGGTATGTCACGACGAGCTTACACTATCTTTAGTATCGAGAATCAGTCAAGAAAAATCCATGAAAATATGCATGCTAATATTTTAGAATACGCTCTCTTCATCACAAATATACTCTACAATGCAGTATTCCGCTTCTACTAGAAAGTAGTGGTTACATTGATATTTCAAATGGAACACCCTTTATTTAATCGCATTTTCAGATTCTCCCTGAAGAGCTCATTTAATCGATGGATCACACTTGGGGTCTATCGAGAGATATTAAAGAGATATAGGGTGTTCGAGATCGAGATTTTTCAATAAAAATATTTTTTTGTTTCCAAACTATTCATTATCGGTCGAAACGGCTCACAAGTCCCAATCTCAACTTCTGATTCGCTATTTACTGATATTTAATCGGATCAGATACAGGGTGGTTCAAGATTCTGAATTCTGATCACCCTGTATCTGTTCCGATTGAATATCAGTAAATATAGTAAATCAAAAGTTGAGATATAGGGACATGTGAGCCGTTTTGGCTTTTAATTTCCGATAGACCCCAAGTAAGATGTATCGATGAAATCAGCTCTTCAGAGAGAATTTGAGAATGCAATAAAATACAGGGTATTCTATTTGAAATAACAAAGTTGTTGCTACTTTTTGATAGAAGCGGAAACACTGCACTTCAGGAAATAATTTATATCAAGAAAGCGTATTCTAAAGTATAAACTCGCATATTTTCATTGATTTCTCTCGACTGATCCTCGATATAGAGATAGTGTAAGCTCGTCGTGACAAACCCTGTATATCTACGAAGATATTAGGAATAATATCGAATCAATACTACGTCTGATACGGGAGTCTGCACCGAATGCAGTAAAAAACTCATTTTTTATTTGTATGGTTCTGGAGATACGACAAAATACCTATGATCATTCAATATAAAACAGTCTATATTTCATTATTTCTTTGAAATCGTATTTTATTCCTTCCAAAATAATATATGTATAAGACTCCTCACATAGAATCTTCAAACATCTTTAACAAACACTAGAATTCAAAAATATAGTATTTATGTAATAAGTCGTATCTCCAAAATCATACCCCAAATAAAGAAATTGAGGACGACACTGGATTCTGCGCAAATTTTTCTGTTTGTCATAGTTTTCATCGCTACAACTTCGTAGATATTAGTTCAGTCATATTAGAAAAAATAGAAAAAATAATTGATAAAAAGCTATAAGTTGGTAGAAACATCAACCTTGGCCTACTGTTGATTATGCCAAAAGTCCGGACCAATACAAGCACGGCTCGATCCGCCATCTTGGAAAAAAAGCACACTAATCCAGTTTTTCTCTCATATCTCAGGTACCTATTGTTGATTCTATCGTATTGAAAGTCATTACAAAAAATGAAGCTAATTGAATTCTACATAAAAAAGGTTCAGAACATTTTTTTCTTCTTCTCCATATTTCTTCTGTTATACACTGTTAAATATTTGGATATTTGTATTCATTGCCGAAAAAAATACACTCTGTATAGAATTTGTGAGAAATGATATAATTTGGAGTGATTTTGAAAACTTATATAATATTTCCTTGTGTATACAAAAATGTTTTATTCGAACAAGTACTTATATAGAAAAAAAAAATTAATTGTCCTGCGAGCAGATGACTGAGGTACTGCAGATCAATGCTCATCATCTCTGTCCTCCGCATCAAACACGAAAAAGTTTTCATCTTCATGGTCTATCTCCTTTTCAGTATCACACGAAGTATCTGAATTCATAACATGTACCATGGCAGTACCCACACACGGAAAGAGTGTTGCTGAGCTGCTGCAGCTGTGGGAGGCAACGAAGCCAAATTCAATTTGTTTTTATACGCTGACTTTTCGAAGATAATGAAACGATATTCATTCAAAGAGGTATCAGTCACAGGTGCACCATACATAGCCAAGAAAAATCGTTCCCCAGCTCGTGTTATTCGACTTTGCCCCTTCCTGGTTTCAGAAAATAAATATTGTGTTCTTGTGGAGCTATAAAGCAGTGAGTAGAAGGAGCAAATCTATATCCTCACCTACAATCACAGCTTTTTCTTTGGATGATACTTCTATCGCTGTTGTGATGATTAGAGTATCGGCATCATCTCTGGCATGTTTGATAGTGAATACTCCAGCCTCGAATCTCTTTGATAACATCGAAATCAATCGAGTTTTATTCTTTTCATTGCCCAGATTTTTTTCTTGTGAGACAGTGGCAGCAATTGTCTCATCGAAGAGTATATCTACGCTAGTATTTTTCGCAGACCGCAAGCATTGTTCCGCTGTTTTAGTGCTTGAAGCGTTGCTGCTGTTCCTAAATATTTCTTCAAATTGTTCACGTATGTTAGGCAAATTGATTGACATGTCTGATTTTGATGCAAAATGACACGGTGCACGAGATACCCACCGTCTATTACATATCTGCCATCTTCCGCTTACCTGATTCGTTGAATAAAGATGCCAGTTCGTATTCAAAATAACCGAATGATTGTTCATACTCTTTTTTAGCAATGATGATTCTTTGGAATAGCATCAGAGGATCAACTGGTACTATCACGTCGATGATTTTAATAGCAGAGTTGAGAGTTGCTAGAGGACGTCTCCGAAATTGTTTCCTATTATTTTCTCAATACCGTGTGTACACCATTTTCAAGAGCATTGTAGCAATAGATAGTACTATCTCCAACAACTCTGGTACTTATTGAGAAAATTTTATCTGAATTCGGAGAAGGATCATGAGAAGATAGCCAGTGTTACAACCGTTTCACATCCTCGTCATCTCGTTTTTTTCGTGAGTCCTTTAAATCGGCATGCTGTTCGCCACTAATGAAAGATACATCGCAAAATTGTTCTAACCTGTCACAGATGTCCAGAAGAGCAGGCATTGCCAGAGTCCATTTGCCAAGGATACCGTTTTTGAAGCCTCGACATGTTAGACCACCTGTGGATTTCATGCTTCTCATCAAAGTTTGCTCAATAACCATGTCTGACCAAGTTCCAGACCAAAATTTGTCGGTTCGTCTGATTGTAAAAAATCAACAAATTTACGGTATTCTTCAATATCCATATGATTTCTCAAATGTAGCATATCTTGAAGGTAGAGATGGCATGCTTTAGCGTGAAGGATGTGGCCAGCATGAAAAAAAGACAGCATATTTTGTATATGACCTGCAAATGAGTTGTTGGAAGTAGTGGAAGTGCAAGTGCAGACATATGCACACGTGTCAGGACTTTATGACCTTATTGACCCCTTTTCTTTTCCTCTCCTTGTGTCGTCACAGAGTAGGCAGAAGTATTCGTATAAGACAAATCATTCAAGATTATTTAATGGAACATTGTAATTCCGAAAATTTTCGTAAAATGGAGAATAATGAACATCATTTAAATATTCATTGGTGATTTGACACAAAAGTATCGATATTATAAAAAAAGTTAATGAGACCTTTTTCATAGAGAATTTAAAGATCTTGAATTTTTATCATAACCTTTGATACGATAGGATGGACGGTTACGGAAATATGATGGAAAAACTGAATCAGTGTACCTTTTTTCCAAGATGGCGGACCGAGCCGTGCTGATACGGGTCCGGACTTTGAGAACAGTCAATAGTGAGCCAAGATGAAGGTCTCCACCAATTTTTAGATTTTTATCAATTATTTTTTCTATTCAGGCTAATTGGATCTTATTTGATTGGCCTATATAGAAGGTCTCCCAAAATAGAAATATTCAAAATCGCTCTGTATCTTATGAACGGCAACAGTTTTGCAAAATCTGATTAGGCCATCCTGAGTTTCACAAAAAGTAGGACAGGAGCGTGAAATCCGCAGCAAATGGGATGCACTGTATATACAGTTATTCCTCATTCGATTTGTATTTAAGAATAATTGATTTCAATTCATTCAGTTTGTTGCAATAGTAATCTCATGTTGACAAAAACATAGTAATTCTCGGATTGGATATTTTCCACCAGATTTTGTAGCCTTGCTAACCTTGCAAAAGTCATACCTATTTCTTGTTGATGTAGATTAATTTAGGGACTATTCCGTTCGCTCCTCTTGCCCCACACCCCCTTCAAATTGGACCAAGCCGGCGATCTTTTTCCCCAGGATCCTGGAAGAAAAACGAGAAATTCAGTTGGATGACTATTTAATGAGAATTGTCTTTCCAGTTTCGTTGAAGAGGACGTTTCATTCAAGGAATGTATAATTCAATTAAAATGTCATCCTAAACAATATACACATTACTGAGGTGAAAAATTGAGTCAACATGGCGTGTTGTTAACAAGATAATCAATATTTTAAGTGGCAATTCAGATGCAATTATGTTTTGTAAATACATAAATAAGTATTATACCGGGTATCCCTGGGAGGTTTTTACGAAAACTCACCTATGTGGGGTACTCAGAATAAATCAATTCGATACAAGCATACTTATAAGCTCAGTACAAATTTTCAAATAGTTCTTGCTCCATAACTTTGAAACGGCTCATGAGATTCCACGAAAATTCAGTACGTTGGCATATAGTATCATTGGACAAAAAAACCCATAAAATGAAAAGAAAGGGGTGAGAAAATTAAATTCTGATTGCGTAACTATTGTCTTAGTCACTGTCTTAATCATAGTCTTAACCAATGTGGATGGAATATTAACTCATCATATTTGGACCTTTATGCATCACAGTCTTTAGGCTTGAGAATTATGATATAACAATTGACAATCCGCCAAGAGTGTCAACTGAGGTGTCAATAAAGTCAAATGCCAATTCCAATATTTTGTTTTGGAGCAGGTTTTTGAGGATTGTTTGAGTTTATTGTTTTCCTTCGTAAAAATCTCTTACAAATTCGAAAATAGAAGTAGATAGATAGTCAAGACATTCGGAGTTGACGTTGGCAAACGAATGAGTTACAGGATGTTTCCATTACGTCACCAATAGTCACTAAGAACTGAAAAGTGTCAAGACAAATACGAGTTTGCTATACAAATATCTATTTTTTATGTTGAAAACGGGAGCAGATTCGTTCCCGGAACGTCCAAAGCTAAGTGAAAATTTTATATCTTCATACTATATACCTTTATTTCCCTTTTCCAAACCTTTCTCAATACAAACTGTCACTGACAAGCTAGTGGATGTTTCTTTTAGGCCCTCTGATAAGAAAATTCTTTCAACGCAGTGACTTTATGAAGAAAATCATCTGATTTGTCCTTACTACACGTATATTGAGATAATGATGAAAATAATGAAAAAATGTTCGATCTCCAGTTTTGGAAAATACATCTGTCCCTTTAAAAGGACGGTAGGATAAAGGGCTACTGTTTGAAAACTGATCAAATGAATAATATGTAAAATATCTGAAACTTTCAGAAACTAATTAGTATGATAGGTCAAAAAATTTGTTATCATATAGCCTCATCAAGGCTGTGATTCTCTTCAATTGGAAAACCGTCACTATCGATTCAAAACTTGACAAAATCCTAACGATCGCGATTGACCTTGTTTAAGATGTCAACAAAATATAATGTGAAACTGGCGACATCTTCAAACGGTCAGCTGAATCAGAAAGGTACAGGTTTCGTTTTGAAGTCCTTTTAAAAGGACGATAGGCGTAAATGGGTTAATGTTTTTGTATTGAGGCAACTATTGAATGTTCAGCCATTCTGAAGTAGATAAAGATATTCACTCTGTATTCTAGGGTTGTGTAGTATTTGTCAGGAGCTTCAAAATGATGTGTCACAAGACCCATCCATTTTTTATTCAGATGGCACCCAGTCGCCATTTTGAAATGTTCATCTGTCAACTTAACTCCAAAATATGGTATTCATGCATCAATTTCATGAATTTAAGTTTAAATTTTTTCAAGAAATAGTGGGGGGGGGCATTCAAGAAAGCAAGTATAGCGGAGCAAAATGTAGACCAACCTCTGAAGTTTTCCCATTTCGTTCTCTTGCCCCAACCGTCAGAAAACTTGTTCCAGTTTCTTTTGTCCTCCTCCTTCATCGCGAAATCTTCTTCGGGATCCATGGGAATGCTGTTGGGATCTTGCTGTTCTAACATGGCAGCGACTTCTTGCATCGCCGCCTCTTCTTCACTTGATGGAGCCATCCTCTTTCCCCAACCACCCTGGAAATATTAAGAAAGTGAGAATAATGAAAGTGCCATGCATTTAGAAAATAATAACATGTATGAATAGACCTGACTCGTATTTAGAAATGAAGGCGTTTAATCATTGTCGTTCTAGATGACAACCTAGTTAGGTAGTTAGTAGGCAGGAGCTATTACCACCTCGCACTAGGTCGCCTACTAGGTTTTCATTCAGATCGACAATGTTTTAATGTTGTCAAAATCAATCCAATTCTGTCGAATAGAAGAAAAGCATGTGATTGATTTAATAATGAAATGAATGAATCTTTGTCAAAATTGATCCAATTTTGTCAAATACACATGATGCATGATATGATTGATTGAACAATGAGATGATAGTTGAATCACAAAAATGTTTTATGTCAACTATTAACATCGTTGAATGAACAAAACCTTTGTTCAAGTAAACAAATATCTCAATCAAAATTTTCCGTCCTTTTGAATAAGCCCCTTTTTTTCGCAAAAATTCTTTCATAGTCCAGTAACTTTGTCGCCTGAACATATGGGGGTAAGTATGCGTCAAATCCGGTAGTTCTGATTTTTTGCAGACTTGTTCATAATGTTGGCCCAATGAATGATCCAAGTTTGTGACCTCGACCGCCGAACGCAACTTTGTCAAAAATCGAAAAAACCGCGAAAATATCATGATTTTTTCAAATTTTGGCGATTTTAACCCTGAAGGACTAGTTTTTGAAAAAAAATCTCTCAACAGATCAAATTTGCTACAATATGATACAAAAACTGTCTCTGTAGACCTAATAGTTTTCCAGATTGAGCCTTTCAAAGTTTATAATTTTTTTCGAATTTCGCAATTGTTTGCAATGTTTTAGGCGTCACTCGAATATACTCTAGCGGGATGAAGTTTCAATTACCTCCGACAGAGTGCGCTAGTACTGTTTGTGTGAAGTCACAATTAGTACACAACACAAGTTTAGACAATCTAAACCACGGGACTTCTCAGCTGGCAAGATGGCGCCTGGTTGTAGGGCCTTCACATATAATAAGTATTGGTTTTATCTCAGGTACCTGCTACACATCCTTTGGTTTCTCAGTAATTCTATTGTTAGATCCTTTCTCTTTGATGGCTGCTATCCACATTTCTCTTCTTATTCTATATATTATCTTCCATCTGTGGATAATGCACAGAGTTTTTCACCGAATCACAGTAGGAATGTGAAAAAACTAAGCAAATTTTCCCGACCTGCACGGCTTCCACTATCCACCACAATACACGTTACCCGCATTTCTTCCTCCAAAATCATATTGAGTTTTCATTATTCACAATAAATCTAACCAAAACTAAATGAAATAATACTCTAAAAGGTTTCCAAAATCTACCAATTCCTCAAGTAAACAAACGAGTCACTTGTTTGTTTGCCTATCAGCCGTCATTTCAGTTGTGGTTGGGAGTCACACTGAACCCTCTCTCCTGGGGGTGGATATCCACGCTACGAGGCCTCAATCCCAAAATGATGACCATAGAGATGCAGCCCCACAACACTTCTTGCGGATGATTTCTTGCGGCTGCACGAAGGGTTGTCGGAACGCGTGCAGCTGCAGGAAGTCTGCATGGATGTAAATGCTCATCAGTCAGTAGGCACTGCAGTGAGGCCTCTTGTGACAATCTATCTGATGTTGTAGTAGTAGATATTCCAGAAGGCGACGATCTGTCCGATGTTGGAATGGAGAATGACTTGTGGGCAAAAGACGTCGACGATTCATCACCATCACCTGATGGGGATATGCCATCCCAATACGTCGATCCAGATCCAGACGAACCTCAACCGGGACCTTCCAAGAGGGCTAAATTAATCTAGTTTTTTGATCTTCAATATTACTTTAATTCCTAACAAATAAACTCATTAACTTTTGTAGTACTTCTCTTTTTTATTTTATCATTCGTAGCTCAGCTCAAACATCCTCGTTCACATTCCTCATTCTCTTTCTTATCATCTCATCATGAGAGTACAGGGCTTCGATTGTATAATCAGGATCAAAATTCAATAAGAACGACAGGATTGCAAAAAATTGCGAAGTTCGAAAAAAATGATAAATTTTGAAAGGCTTAATCTCGGAAACTAATGAGTCTACAGAGACAGTTTTCATATCATATTGTAGCAAATTTGGTCTACTTTGAAAATGTTCAGGAAGAGTTTTTTCCAAAAACTAGTCCTTCAGGGTTATAATCGCCAAAAACTGAAAAAAAAAAACTATTTTTTAGCAGTGTTTCCGTTTTTTTGACAAAGTTGCGTTACTGGATTATCAATTTGACAAAAAATAATTGATCATACTAGTTTTGTTGGTGCAACGAATCTTCTTTTTTGTGTATGTAATGAGGTGAGACCCAAGTGAATTGATCACTTGACCACAATATCATTGGGTTCAATATACCTGGAAGTTTTGCCAAGACCTCTTTTCAGCTATGGGTACAGAAGGGTATATCTGCTGGTCGACCCATGAAGGTGCACTCCGCTTTAGAGCCCACCCTCCGTGTATGTTACTCCACCCCCTTTTTCCCCACGTATTCAGATTCCTGTTCCAGTCTCGCTTTGGCATTTCGTTGTCCATCTAAACGAAAACGAATCATTATTGTAACAATAATTACAATTATATGATGATGTTAGTTATACAAGACAGAAAAACTTGACTCGACAGAATTATGAGCATCTATATTGACCTCAACCCATAGCAATACCAATACACATAAACTTCACGAATATTAAAATAATTCAAAAAAAAAACAAAGTAACACCAAGTCGGTCGACAAGTGTTTAGTTTCGGCTCGAATAACCATCGTCAGACACATCAGTACACTGTACCTGCAAAGATACCTATACCTATAAGGCCATGTATTGTGGAAATCACATTATGAAATAAATATAAAATTAAAGAGCCCTGATGGAGTCATCTGGCAAAAAATCAGCCCGGTAAAGAAACACTCTAATTTTTTAACCGACTAAACAGCCAAAACAACCTAACTATCAAGTTCAACATTTGCAAAAACTTGAGAAAATTGTATTGAGTTAATTCACTCAAAGCCCAATGAAGATGAAACTCCTTTGAGTGAAAAAGTAATACAATTTTCCCAAGTTTGTGCTAAGGGTCATCTGGCTGTTTAGTCAGTTCAAGAAATTGAGTAGGTATTCCTTTACCGGACTGGGCTCTTTGATTTTATTTTTATTTTATAATAAGACAACAACTCATTGTTCCTTTGTTAATGGAATATCTTTACAGGTACTGTGTACTGATGTGTCTGAAGATGGCTGTTTGAGCCGAAACTAGTCACAATACATTTTGTGTAATACAATTCTTGTGGTCGAACGACTTGGTGTTATTGTGTTTCTTCAAAAAAATCTGGACCACTTCGAGAAGGATGGATGGTTTCCATGACTTATAAACATAATTATTGAACCTTCGGTTTTCGATCCATATTTATTTCCAACAGAACGCACCGTCGAAAACAAAGGTTCTGTCCAATATGTAATATAGGCAATAATAGAGAGTTGAACTAACCACTGTACGTAGACCTCCACGTCGACGTTAACGTACGAAAAATAACGTTTACGTATTGTCGTTAAATTGAGTTGAAGTCGCCACTTTGGTCGTCACTGTCATCATAACGTAATAATACATGTTGTTTTCGGTTTGTATTGGTCATTTTTGGTTGTGTGTTCAGATTCGAACATTTATTCCTGTCAAAATTAGAGGACTCCTTGATGCAGAACTCGTTGGTGATCTCGAATTTGATAATTTTGACTCATCGGCATATTTCGAGTATAGTTTGGTTAACGTACGTTGATATTTAAGGTATACGTGAAGGAACGTGAGATAACGTTCACCCGTAAGCCCACTAACAACGCAAACGTGAAGAATTGGAAAATGCGCATGCGTAGCTGTCAATTTCTACGTTTACGTTAACGTTCATGACAACACTTCAACTCTCTAATATTATCAACCGGCAGGAGTTTTGAGCTGTAAATAGATGTAATAAAACCTCAATATCCGACCAAACGAAGCTAGGTACCATAAGGGTACCATGGAGGTTTCTGGTTTCTATATTTGAGATGAGAAGAAGGGTGGATATTGAGTGATTGAGAATGAGTCATGAACTGAAATCAGTACCTGTGGAAAGTATTCCCAAAGTAAATTTCTTCTCTTCATATTCACAATTTTGTTTGTTGAGAAGACTATCAAACATAATATGGTGGTTTCCAAAAATAATGTATAGCTTCCGGATGAAACTAACGGTTCCTCAACTCATTCTCACAAAAGGATTGGATTACAATTTTTAATGGAAGGGGAAAACTTCTCAATTAGTTTTTTCTCATTATATTCACATCGTTGAACCGATTGAGGTGAAAATTCCATCTGTGCATTATGAATTAATAGCAATAACAACATCCATTCTATGAAATCATGACTTATTCATCACTTATGAGAATCATTAATGAATCGAATATTAACAAACTGATAGTGAATTGAAATGCATTATATGCAAATAAATATGACAAAGCGACCACAGTATAGAATGTGTACGCGAGAATTTCAATTACGATCAACTCATATCATATAGTCGATATGTGGTTTATATGGAAATATTCTGTCAAGAACATCGTCATTAATACCAAAATTTCAATCGAATGAAATTCTGTATGTCTTTCAACTGATCCTAAGCGAACAGATACAAACACCAATTCGTGACGTCACTATGACGTACTTTCTATGACATGATAATCACGTCATCATTACGACGTTGAGTTAACATCACTTGGATGATTAAACTCAGACGTCAGTTTCATGACGCTGCAGGGACGTCCTGTCATCCTGTGAACGTCATGTTTCTGTTTTTTTTTCACAAACCCTACTTAATCTAACGATTAATACAGATGTTCTAATATATTCAGAATATAAATATACCACCAATGTTCCGTGCACGTCGATCAACTTTAGTTCGTAGTTTAGTTAAGTTAAAATCAAATGATAGATCATATCCTATTTCAAACCCATGTCACTAAATGTAATTATGTACAGTTCAAAATTCCCCCCTAATTCACTTGGTAAAGCCTCGGTACCATGCCGATTCGACCCGAACAAGGTCAGTCAGAAAAAGGTCTCTCAGCTCAACACGCGTTCGCGCTATCCAGATTTAAAACCTCCATACAAAACCCTCGGAAGTGAACTGAATTCGAAATATCGCCCTGTCAATCGAAAAACAATACATTGAGTGCTCCTTGAACTTGTGCCAGAAGAGATCCAGGAGAAACCCCAGGCCATAGGACATCAGACGCCAACGAGACCGGCAAAAGGTAAAAGGGGGCACCAAGTATCTTGTTGTTTTTCAATTCAAATTTCTCGAAACTCCTCTCAATTCTCAACATTTTTGGTCCTTCAGAGCCAACGGATGCTCAATCACGCATAATTACATTTTGACTTGGGTTGAATTTGTTAATTTCGAAATTCATTTACTTCCGAATTTATCTCTCTTTATCCATCGCCCTTTCTTTACTATTTACAATATTTATTCATTCCGCGTATCTAAACTGCGAACATCAGTGACAAACGTGCAGACGTTTTTTGCTCAGGCTATTCGGAGTTCCCTTTTTTGTATTTTCTTGCCCACACTTTATCCTTTCAGCTGATAACGAAAGGTATTCTCTCGAGTTGTTTACAATTTAGTCATTCGAATATTATTAGTTTTTGCTGGGGATTCCGGGATTCCCGTCTGGCCCATTCTCTCTTTGATCTTTGTTTATCGATATAAATCGAATAAAATTTTGAAATGACGACCAATGCGAACAAATTGAAACAGTATATAGCTCTTCGCGACTTGAATGTGAATGAGTTAAGAACCATTTCTCATCACTCAGTTCTAGCAAGAACCGATAATACTTATCGAGGTGCATTCAAAGTTGCCTTCAAAAGGCTCGAAACGGTTTATAATGATTTCAAGAAGGCTCATCAAAATCTAATCACATTTGGATGTCTTGTCGATGGAACCGATTTGGGAACTCACGAACTTATTCGCGATACTTTTGAAAACGAGACTATTTCTATTCAGGCTGCTTATCATTCGCTGTTTGGCGACCCTGATGATGCTGCCGGAGTGCCTAGTCATCAGCCAAATGTCAAGTTACCGAAGATAGAAGTACCCAAATTTTCTGGTGACTATAAAAAATTCAAAGGATTCATTGACATATTCAACTCCTTGGTACACACTAATACGAGTCTTCAAAATATAGAAAAGTTCACACATCTTTGTAACTCATTGCAAGGCCCTCCTTTGGCCCTTATTCAGTGCACTCCCCTATCTGAGGACAATTACACAATCGCATATGAGGCTCTCGTAAAGCGATATCATAATAAACGTCTAATAGCTACCGCCTATTTACAAGAAATTGAGAATTGTCCCCGAATTCCTGAACACAATGCCAACTCGGTGAATTTGCGAAAATTGCTAGATACCTTCGAGGAAAATCTCGCTGCCCTGAACAATATGAAGTTCCCCGTCAAAGAATGGGATTTTCTTTTATTTTTCATGTTGATAAAACGCCTCGATTCTCATACCGTCACTCAATTCGAATTGCATAATCACTCAAATAATGACGCTATCCCCTCGTTCGAATCCCTTAAACAATTCATTACTCAACAATGCAATGCTTTAGAGACTGTTGATGCATCTCAAAAGGCTTTCAAAATGTCGCTCTCTAACACTAATAAACGACTCTCCACTCACCCCTCGTATAACACAAGCTCAACTTCACAAACTCGAATGTCTTTGATGGCTAGCACATCACACTACCGTAGTAATTCAAACATTAACGAAAATAATAGACAATTATCGTGCATCGCCTGTAAGGCTACCGATCACACGATTTACACTTGTCAAAATTTCCTGAGCAAATCCCAGAAAGAACGTTATGATTTCGTGAAACGTTATAACTGGTGTGTTAACTGTTTAGGAACAAAACATTCTACACGGTCCTGTCCTTCTAGATCTGTTTGTCGATCATGTGGACAAAAGGGACATCACAGCCTCCTACATTTTAATAACAATAATCCTCATAATTTTGTCCAACCTTCCCAGTTAGATACCTCAACATATTCCCGAGATCGAAATCGTGAACCTTGCCCCACTAATAACTCCGCAGATCAGAACCACCCCTCTACCTCGGTGGCTTCTTTAACAGGGATAGCACCCAACATACAGGGTGTCCTTCTTGCTACAGCTCAGGTAGAAGTGTTAGATAAATTCAACTGTTCTCATAAAATTCGTATTCTCCTCGACTGCGGAAGCCAGGTAAACTTTATTACTCAGCAATGCGCGAATCGATTGGGACTCTCGCGTTTTAATCTGCCACTCTCGGTGAGTGGAATTGGTCACATGAACATGAACCAAACTTCAAATGGAGTTACTTGTATGGTTCGTCCTGTGAATAAGATGTCCCCAGTATTTACTGTTGACGCCGTAATATTACCCAAAATTTGTATGGATTTGCCTAGTGCTCGAATCATTCGTAAACCATGGGCACACATTCGCAATTTAGCATTAGCAGACCCGAACTTTGATT